AAAAAAACGAAAACCCTGGAAATTGGATATGTTTACCTTTTGAATTTCTTAACTCATGTTGAGAAGCACCTTGGTATCTCTGAATCAAGAGTTTACCCTTCTAGTGTGGAATCAGTTCGGAAGTCATCTGTTCGTAACAACCTGGAATTTCCTTGAGAGGCTGAGGACGTTCTTATACTATTCAGTTGGCGTGACAGGTGCGGAATTTGGGAGTGGTAACCCGAAAATCCATGTCTTTTAGGACCCGCTCGAAAAGTGCGCGTTCTTAGCGGACGCTCTCGAAACGTGCCAGCAGTCGTGTTGCGCACGTTTCGAAAGCGGCTGGAAATCGTGCCCGAAATGAGCTCCCACCAGAAACGACAAATCCTGGCTGGCGAAAACTAAATACACGACTTCGTCCTATTCGGGCAGATTCGTCAATGCTGTGGCAAAAACAGCGAGGTCTCGTTTTCCAGGCTCGTAATACCGTAACTCCATTTCTTTCGCCAATATCTTTTGTTTTTTTGCTGTGCAGAGCATTTGTCGTGACAAAGGCTGGACACAAGGCCGAGGCAAACATGCTCTCTCTGGTCGAAAGGTGGGCCTCGCGACATCTACATTCCCCGTAACATTTTCCGAGCATGTACAGTAGACGTAAAAAGAGCGTGTTAGGGCAAAACGAACGCGCTGGACACGCCCTGAGCTTTGATCCACAGCTTCGCTGCTGATAGCACCTGAATCTGATCATGTCCAGGACACTGTACGGGTTTGGTCATCGCGAGTCAGTGCAGGTTGCTCGAGCTGTTTGGGATGAAAAGAACAACGAAGTTCAATGGCCTGAAAGCGAAGCAGGGCGAGGATGGATCCAAACCAAGCCACTAATTCTTTATTGGCACTCATTACATTGGTGGCTTGATTTGGATGCATTCATTCATTATGTGTACTACACCTCTTCCTTCTTTGAATGACTCATTCAGGATCACCAAGAATTTCACGGAAATACAATAGAAGTTGTCAACATTCTCTACATAAGTGAATCTGCTTAGGAGAACCTACGAAGCGCGACGTGAGAGAATCTGTATCGGATCTTGCTTTGATTGTGAGAATTTAGCGATTTACCTATCAGAGACGACCCATATTTTGCAATTGTACCAAATCTTTAGCATTGTCTGTTTCCACTTGTGTAGTTATGCTACGTTTCACTTCACCAGTAGGTTGTTGAAAAGGCTTCATAGAGAGGCGAGACGAGACCCGTGTAGACTCGCCACGGGTTCTGTGAGCCGGACTTGCGAACAAAAACCCTTAGCTACGATTCATAACCGTTTTTCATGTCAGAGTCGGTTTTGCCCCAGCTTTTGGCCTTTCGGGGAAGTGGAGCGCACCGCGTGGTAGATTCTGGTTCTCATAAACAAGATGACGTGTATATACAGTGCCATTACTTCCCGCCAGCCAGCCACCTGCTGGGTTCGATTCGATGTTCGGCAACGTGGAGCATGGTTCAATAGAAAGGGTTTTGGCCAATCAATTGAACCCGGTTCTGCCTCGTCATCCCGCGCCCGGCCCGCTGCCTGACTCAGAAGTTTGGGCATTTATCTATCATGTCCCAACTACCAGGTGAGCTTTCACGTTTTGTTATTCGTTTATCACGAACAGTCAATTTTACTGGCAAATGTATCTTGGTAGTCACTCGCTAGCACGGTCTCTTGCCGGGGGCCAAAGCTATCACGTTCGGTCACAAGATGAAACAACCGCTGGAAAGTTGAGACTCCCACCAAAAATCCCACGCGTGCATAGCTGCTTTTTAGATTCGCACAATATTCAGTCGTGCGTGGCCTCGTCCTTTGTGCACGACTGGTTTCCAAGCGACTTCGTCAATCTAACAGTGAAAGGGGAGTTACAGACGTACAATTGTAACCCATTCAGTTTCTGAAATCTTAATCAATGCTAGAATATAACAGAAACCATATCGTGTATACACATAATCAAATCAGAAGCCTAACACTGCAACAAAAACCTTATCGTATATACATAAAATCAAATCATAGACTTACACAAAATTCATCTCGATTTAAGCAGCCAAACTTTGCTACCTAACCGGTTTTGTGACTTGACCAAGCCTTCCGCCCTTCTGAAGGGTCAAATCAATCCCCGCAAAGTTATAGCAATAAAGACACGCCAATATATTTATTTTTTCTCTCTTATGACAATGGCGCATTATAAATTGCAGGAAATATCAAACATATTCGCTCGTATTGGTCAATAAAATAAGTATAATTAATTACGATCTATAAAAAATCTCATTTATCTGAATTAAATTTTCTTTTAGCAAAACGTATTTTTTATGAGTATTAAAAATACAAAGCGGTCAATAAACTAAGGTAGGACAACCAGCATTCATGATTCAGATCAAATGTTTACAATGATGGATTAAAACATCATTATTAAACGAGTTACAAACGTAAATATGTAAATCCCGTTTCGTTTATACGCTGGCAATGTCGCTTGGAAATCAGTCGTGCACAAAGGACAAAGGCCACACGCGACTGAACACTGTGCGAATCTCAACAGCTGCTCAGCGTGAACGGGATTTTTGGTTGGAGTTTCAACTTTCCAGCGGTTGTTTCATCGTGTGATCGGACGTGATAGCTTTGGCCCCAAGCGAGAGACGATTCGTGATAGCGAGTGACTAACCATGATAGTTTTGCCACTAAAAATGACTGCTCGTGATAGTTGTGTTTCAAAACGCGATAGCTCGCCTGATGGTTGTGACCTTTCATATAAATTCCCCATAATGTTCATCTGTCATTTTGTCTCCGAGTGCTCCACATCCGACGACCTACATCGATCTTCGATATCGATTGTTGGAAAGCCAGACGAGATTGGTGGTAGGCTTGACCCAAACGTTTGCTCTTCATTGCTGTGCTGAGCAGTAATGAACATTCTTTTGTGTCCGATTCGAGGCGTACTCGGGACTTGAGTCATCCGAACCTCTTGTACAAGCTCGCATGGTACACCTCCCGGGGTTTTGAAGAATCAGAATCTACCACGCGGCCTGTTCCAGTTACGCGAAAGGTTAAAACGTGAGACAAAAGCGCCTCCCATCGATAGAAACGGTTATGAATCGTATCTAAGGCTTGTTTGTAAGTGCGGGCTCCACAACCCGTGGCTAGTCTATCCGGGTCTCATGTCACGCTGAAGCCTTTTCAACAACCTATTTGCGAAGTGAAACGTAGAAGTGGAATCACGAACTGCGCAGCTTCGGTCTGATTGTAATATTTGGGTCGCCTCTGACTGGTAAATTGTTAAAATATCACAATCAAAGGCAAGATCCGATACAGATTATCTCACGTCGCGCTTCGGTGGGTTCTCCTAAGGAGTGCCAAATAAGCAGAGAATGCTAACACATTTTACTATATTTTTGTGAAATTCTTAATGCTCTTGAAACACTCGCGACCCAGTGCGGGAAGAGGTGTATTTAGTGTCTTTTAAGCGTGTCCACGAGTTTTTTAGCAGATGACTGTAGATAGACAGACAGCATTTCGAACAAGTTCTTCATTCAATATATTGAAGCAATACACATATTGTTCATTACTTTTTGTTTCAAGAACAGTTTAATCAGCTCATACACTCAATATTACAAAACTCTCCTAATCTTATACACCTTTCATACAGTCTCATATACCAGCTATAGATCGTATTCTACTAGAGCAACGGCGACTAGCGCAAGTATTTTACAGGGACAATTATTTCTTAGTTTCAAACCCCATAGATGCAAGAAAATATGAGACATGCCAATCAGGTATTGCACAAGTATGCTTATATTTAATGTGTGACATCTAATCTTTTTCATCCTTGAAACAAATGGTGCAAGCAGAGAGGTTGACGATCCACAGCAGTCGTAGGTGGCTTAGGGGCCAACCAAATACTACATTTAAATACTAAATGGGACAAGGGCTGGCGGGTTGGGGTCATGGAAAGTGCGTCTTCATTTTGGCTGCGCTTATTGGGGAGAAATATGGACCAATCAGAAGTCGTTTGTGTTTTTGCGTGAGTAGTGAACCCGAGCCCAACTTGAAAATCAAGTTGGGCCCACTTTGGTAATGACGAGACAATGAGGTTACACGCGTGCATGCGATTTGTGTCAGCTTGCAAACTCTCTTTCGAAATTCCCCCACCTTATCACATGCTTCGCTTGTTCGCTCTGTACATGGCGCCTGCGTTGTGGATTTGGCCTGATTCTGCCACATGGGGTTGTCACTCCTTTCTAAATTTTTTTGGGTCCCTTGGTTTCAAGTTGGACCCACCTTTACTATTTTAGCCTCTCGCTTTAAATCCATAACCTGACCCTGGCGCAGCAGAATAACGAATTTGAACACGCCAAGTTCAATTCTGAATTCGATTTAGTTACATCATGTAATGCGTTACCATACGGAAGTGGTAAGCCACACGACGGGCGTATTCGTCACCGCCAAGTTTCGGTTTCTACAGCACTCAGGCTACTGTCGCTATGGTAAAAAAAAATCCCGTCTGCGGAAACCCCATCAAGCACTACACATTGTGTGTGTCCGATCTTACATAGTAGTGCCGTACCATATATGGCATATGAACTGTGCAATTTAAATTGTGTTATTATTGTTGCAATGCCTCATATTCTGTGCTACACATTGCGAAAACCTAGCAACGTGTGTAGGTGGACTAGTCGCAGCAAAATACAGGCTCTCCGCCCCTCTACGGTATGCGTACAACAGCGCTCCTACATCCTCGGAAACGATAAGCAATTTTTTGCCAGGGTCATACAACGATATTCTCTAAGTGCAATTTCATATATCATTGGAGCTTGCGTTTGTAGAATACGATATATACTCAACATGGATCGCTTTGAGATTGAATTCCATCTTTATTGGTTAACATTCTGAGTTTTATCAAAAGTGCGTGATTGGCTATTCACGCAACTAGTCGAAGAATCAAATTTCGTTAGGGCGGATTCGATTTCAGCAACTTTCCTAGTGCCTACGCCAGAAATAAGTGTTCATGCCCATTGGGAGGCTACAGCATTTCCGCTCAGAACAACCCTCGAAGCCTGCGAGTTACTGTACATCATGTCCCCTTTGCCTGGGGCCTGCGATTCCGGGGGTATAGATTCATGCCGCGTGAAACAAAGAAAAGCATGTAGTCCAGAACAGGTGTATTTACGTCGATCGCTTCACGCATTTGCTGGTTGTTGGGGCGCTTTCCCGGATCCCCTAGCCGATGGGTTTTTTTGCGAGCATGTGAAATGGAGCAACGGCCAGGAAAAGCTGTGCCTCCTCTAGTCTGTCCTCGTTGGATAGTGGTTGCCTTCACCTTTGCTCTGGCGCCGTGGATTTGGTTCTTTTCCCATGTCGTGGTGGTGACCTCCGTACAGTACCCAGTCCCATAATCTGTCCCAGCTTTGAACCTAGCGTAGCTTACTCTAGAGGCGGCCTCCACGGTTCTTCTCCAGTGCACAGCATCCGTCTGTGCGCTTCCATCCATCTAAGCAAAGCAGCCCACCTCACCCTCATGGCGGCATCTTCCCTCGACCATTCTCTCCCTCGACCGTTCTCTCCGTGGAGCCATCATCCCTAACGTGCCCGCCACTCGTTTCATGCAGTGCAGTGCACTGCACACATCCCAGACGAAGTCTGCGACCGCGCAGTGAGTGAGATATAACTTGGCCCAGCAGGCAAGTGCAGAACACTGCGAGCAGCCGCGTTTAGACAGGCGCTGCATCCGCGCGGCGCCCTGCGAGTGCACGAGCCATCTATTACTGTACAGTAACTGCGTCGCATGAGTGTAGTCTCGAGCTTGGAACCGAAGCCCCCATCTGTACGGACGAATAGCAGAGTCCCTCACTCCTTTCGTCGCACTCCTTTCGTCGCACGCCTTTCGTCGCCCCTGTTTCGCCGCCATGAATCCACGCGCTTCGAAAAACCATAGCCTTACCGTGAAACCTGTTCCTGAACCTCTGCCTAAACCATCCAAGCTGGATGTGCGGATCCAAATGGGTGCGATATGCCCGTGCCACCGACCCAAACCGTCCCGCACCTCATGATGTTCTCGTCCTTGTAACGCGGACGGTCTCGACCCATCCTCTGGTTTTGGCGAATCCATCATGCCGCCCGCGGTCCTTCCCGGCCAACCGGCGGCGGATCTCCGCTCCCCCCATCCGACCGCGCATTCTCTCTCCCGCCCGCCGTCCCCTCCCCCCGCGCCCACACTCCCCCCTCCGCCTCCGCGCACCTCGCGCCCGTTCGTGCTGCAGCGCCCGCGCACGCCCGACGCCACATGGGGGGGCGTGCGCACGGCGCAGTTCGGGGAGGCGGGGTCTCTGGGTTACCGCATGATGTTCGCGGATGGCGCGGGGAGGGTGCTGTCGCCGTGGCATCACATCCCGCTGTACGCGGCGTGCGACACGCTGGTGCATTTCGTGTGCACGACGCCCGTGGCGACGTGGGCGAAGATGGAGGTCGCGCGCGACGAGGACTACACGCCTCTGCGATTCGCAGCGTCGCAGATGCAGGTGGAGGTACAGGGTGACGACAACTGCGACGGCGACGGCGACACCGGCGATGCCAAACTTGACAGTGAGGATAAGCTCGCCGCGCGTCCCGACAGTCTGCCCGACACCGCGGCAGGAACTGCCCGCTGCCGCGCAAGCGACGCGCTGCTTGTACCAGCGCACTACGCGGGCAACGTGCTGTGGAACCATGGCGTGCTGCCGCAGACGGTCGACGAGTCCACGCTGCTCCGCGCGCCATCCCCCGACGCCCGAACCGCATCCGGTTCCGCTCCCGCTCCCGGAACCCCAGCAGCCCGCGATCCTAGCGGCGGCGTCGGCGGCGGCGGCGGCGGTAGCGGGAACGGAGGAGGAGGTCCGGGAAGCAGTGGTAGAACAAGCAGTAGCAAGCAGCGGGTATCTGCGGGCGGAAACGGCGGGGACGGCGGGAAGCATTCGGGGAGGAGCGGGTGGGGTTTCAAAGGCGGTACGGGGTCGTGGAAAGAGAAGGGGAGCGGCAGAGAGCGTGTGCAAGGCGACGTGGCAGCCGCTGATTGGTCGTGCGATTTACCAGACTCGAGGGTCGGGTGGCAGAGGCAGCAGGATCTGGAGCTCTCGCTGCTCGAACGCTTCGAAATGGAGCGACTCGCTATAAGCAGATCAGATGACGATGGGGCTTCCAGTTCGGACCCGCTATCCGCAGCCCCGATAGAGGTTATTGAGATCGGACAGCAGCCGGCGCGGGTTGGGCAGGTGTACGCGGTAAAGCCGCTTGGCGCGATTCCGTTAGTGCAAGGCGACAGGCTGACGTGGAAGCTAATCGCCGTGTCGGGAGACGACCCGTTAGCCGCGAAGCTAGAGAGCATCGAAGACCTTCCGTCGGTCCTACCAGGGACGCTGGAAATGCTGCAGGAGTGGCTGCTGGTTAGGGATTCCGTGGATCCGGCCGACGCGAAGGACCGGGGTTTTCGCGAGGAGAGCGAGGAGAGCGAGCATTTCTGTGCTATTAAGGGAAGCCAACGAGACGAGCGAGATCAAAGCCGCGTGGGCTCTTTGTCTCCCCGCGCTTCCCCCCGTCCTTCGCCCCGCGCTTCTTTCCGCGTGTCTGTTCGCCCGCTTCCGCGTCCTCGGCTCCCCGCGCAAGGCGCGTGCGGGTCCGCGCACGCGCTGGCGCTGGTGGCGCAGGCGCACGCGTCGTGGCAGCTTTACTTCCACCTCAACGCGCACCCCGAACCCTGGCTGCCCGAATGCGAAGTTTTCCAATCGGGCATCCTCGAAAGAATCTGGGCCAAGTACACGCGGGCAGGGCCGCGGGGGGCGTCCGCGGAAAACATAGTCGCAGCGGCAACAGCAGCAGCGGAAGCAGCCGAAGGCGGCGGCGGAGGACGACAAGCGGAAAAAGGAGGGAGAGGCGGGGAAGGTTTGGCGAGCGGAGGGGGTTCGACGGAACGAGGAACGAGCGGAGGTGCCCGAAAAAAGGAGAGAGAGGACGCGGTGCGGAGGGAGGTTGCGCAATTGCTCCGCGTGTCAGGATGCGCGCCGGAGGGGCACAAATTTCAGCTGGTAGTGGAGCTGGCGGGGCAGGAGAAGGTGGGCGTGGGGGGGAGCAAGGGGAAGACGCGGAGGCACTGGCGCGGGCAGGGGGAAGGGCCGCGAGCGAGCTTGAGTGGGCTCCGTGTTACAGTGAGGGGAATGTGGAACAGTAACAGCAGCAGTAGTAGTAACAATAAAAATACATTTAGTAGTAACACCAGCAGCGGCGGCAGGAATAGTAAGGGCAGGAATGATACGGGCGAGAGCAGCAGTAGGAGCGATAGGCGCGCGAGAAGCAATATGGGTGCGAGTGGCGCAGCAAGGTCGCTAAGGCTGGTGCAGCAGGGGGGCAGGGAAAGGGGTGGTGCAGATGGGAGCTTGGCTAGTGTTGATGCCCATGGGGAGGGCGAGAATAATGCGGATGGGGCCATTGCTCTACAGGCTTCTGCTGTTGCTGGTGGTGGAGTTTCCAATCACAGCGCCAGTCACACATGCAGCAGTGCCAACGCCACCACCAGTACCAGCACCACAAGTGGCACTAATGGCATCAATGCTCGTAATGCTTCACGCAGCAGAAGCAGCAGCGGCAGCGGCATTAACATTGGCAATGGCTTTGGTCATGGCAGTGGCGTCGGCAGCAGCAGCCGAGCATGGAGCACCATGGGCAGTGGGAGGAGCACGGTTGGGGTGACAAGCGACGCCAGCAGCAGGTGGGGCGGAACCAGCAGCAGCAGCAACAGCGGCGGCGGCAGAACGAACATGAGAGGCAGCAGCACGAGCAGCAGCAGCGGAAGCAGCAGCTTCGGGTGGGGCAGCATTAGCAGCGGTGGTGGCAGTGACGGCAGTGGAAGGGGGCTCACTGGCAGGAGTGGCGGAGGGGGCAGTGGCGTGCTAAGCGCTGTTGACTTCAGCTTTTTGGAGCCCATGGGGTTGAGCGAGCTTGTATCGGTTAACGAATCAGCTTCTCCCAGCAGGAATTTCGGCGCCGGTGTCTCGTACGAGCAATTGAGTTTGCCTGCTGCGGGTGCTGCAGGTGCTGCGGGTGCTGCTGCAGCTGCTTCAGTCCCCGGAACCACCAGTCCTTCCACCCCCCCATGCTCTCTCTCTTCCACCCTACCCGCCACCATGTCCCCCTCCCTACCGTCCACCCTACCGCCCACCCTACCTTCAACTCTGCTTTCTACCCTACAGTTTCGCTCCCACCCTCCCACCCCTCTCCCCCGCACCCCGTCCGCCCCCAACAACCCTTGCCCCTCCGCCCACCCCTCCCTCCAACCCCATGCCCCGCCCGCCACTCGTCTCCCTTCTCCCCCGGCTCTCTCCCCCCCGCTTCCCCCCCACCTCTCCCCCGCTCTCCCCTCTCTGTTGATTCAATCAGGGACGCGGAGAGAAGGGGTCTGAGGGGGGGCGAGAGAGGAGAGTGGGAGCCATGTGGGGAGGTGAGGAGCGGGATGAGAGGGGGGAGAGTGAGGGAGGGAGTGAGGGAGGGGGTGAGGTTCCTTCAGCGGCACAAGAGTGAGAACCTAGCTGCAGTGTTTAAGTACCTCAGCCCGGACAGGCTTGGGGGTAAGGGCAAGGGAGGCGGGAGGGGAGACGAGTCACCAGGAGCAGGAGCAGGAGGGTGGGGGGCGGGAGGGTTGGGAGCCGAACCGGACAGCCCAGAGACAGTGAGGGGGGAGGAGAGGCAGCAGGAGCAGCACCATGGGAGCTACCAGGAAAGGTGCAGGCAGCACGGCTGGAAAGGCAGGCCTGGAAGCACCAGCAGCAGCACCAGCAGCAGCAACGCACACGAGTGGGCAAAGGTGGAGCGACAAGGGAGTGTGGAGGGACGGAGGCACGGAGGGGGAGGAGGCAGGGGCGAGGAGGAGGAACCCACACCTGAGGCAACAGCGGAGCTGGTCCTTGGCCCTGCTGTTGCACTCTCCCCTCCATCCTCCCCTCCCTGTTCTCCTCGCATCCCTGCCCACCGTTGCATCCCCCTCGCGCGCTCCCCCTTCTCCTCGCCGCAGTCCCGGACCCCTGAGAGGGTTCGCAGCTCAGTAGCCGTGCGACGGCACGCCACCGCTCCAGTGCCACGCACCCTCCGGTCTCACTCCCCTCTGCCACTCATTCGCTCCCCGCTGCACCTCACCCGGTCTGCTTCACCGCTGCACTGCAGCAGCAGCAATAGCAGCAGGAGCAGTAGGAGCGGGAGCAGCAGCAAGGACGCTAGCCAGCATCTGCATGTGAAGCAGCAGCAGCAGCGGCAGCAACAGCAGGAGAAGCAGCAGCAGCAGCGGCTCCGCAGCCATCACAATATTCATCCGGCAGCTGGTCGACCCCTTTCCCCTTGCCTTCTTCCAGGTGTACTGCCAAGAGCTACCTCTGCTGCTGCTCTTGCTGCTGTTGCTGCTACTGATGTTACTGGCGGCGGTGGTAGTGGTGGTGGTGGTATCTCTGTTGATTCGATTCGATACTCCTTTACTCAATTCCACACTGACGGTTCGGAGGGGCCTGAGGAGCAGGAGTGGCATGGTAACAGGCACAGCGACCAACAGGTCGAGCAGTGCGACGACTGGCACGCTCCCGCACCTCTCTTCCACCGCTCTCTGGACGACAGGGCGGGACTCAGCAGCTGCTTCCGAGCCAAGGCATGGCTGGCAGAGCGGGAGAGAGAGATAGAGGAGGAGGAGGAGGCGGACGAGGAGGACGGGGAGGAGTGGGAGGGCGAGGGGGAGTGGGAGGGGAGCAGGGGTGAGGGTGGGGGTTTTAGAAGTGGTAGAGGTGCTGACAGCGGGAATGCTCGTGGTAGTGGCGGTGGTGGTGGCAGTAGCACCAGTAGTGGTGGCGGTGGCGGTGGGGGTTGTGGTGGTGGTGGTGGCGGCGGCGGCGGCGGCGGCGGCGGCGGTGGTGGTGGTGGTGGTGGTGGTGGCGGCGGCGCTAGTAGTGGTGTTAATGGTGGCAGGAAGCCCTCTCACGGAGGGTCATGGCATGGAGGGTTGGCACGCGGAGCATCGCTGTCGCTTGACGTGCGCACGGGCAGCGGCAGGAGGCTGAGTATGGTGCAGGCTGTGGAAACAGGCTCTGCCAGCACCACTGCCGCCACCGGTTCAGCAGCAGCAAGGGGAGGCGCAGGGGCAGGAATAAGGGGAGGTGGGCCAGGAGCGTCTGCAGGTGTAGGAGGAGGAGGAAGGGGGGGAGGAGCAGCGGGAGGAGAAGGGGGCGGAGAAGATGGAGGGGAGTGGAAGGAGGGTTGTGCTAGGTCACTTGGGAGTGGCAGTTTCAGGTCATGGCGCGAGGGCAGCCTTGACCTCACTAGGGAGGGGGCAGCTGGGCTGGTGAGGGGGGATAGTGTGGGACTGAGGGAGAGCAGTGTGGCACTGAGGAGGGAAAACAGTGTGGGTGTGGGTGTGATGAGAGAAAAAAAAGCTGGTTTGAGGAGGGAGAGTAGCATGGGGGCACTGAGGGAGTGGGATGCAGGACTGAGGAGGGAAGGCAGTGTGGGCTCATTTAGGGATGGCAACGCAGGCTCATTCAGGGACAGTAGTACTCCAATACTGTTCAAAGACACGCCTGACAGCACCCCTCCTCCCTGCTACCCCGCGCCCTCTCATTCTTCCTCCACTGCAGCCACCCAGCCGGCTGTGTTTTCCCGCATCAGCAGCAGCAGCAGCATTGCTGGTAGGAGCAGCAGTGGCCGAAGCTTCTCAGCCACAGCAGCAGTGGCAGTGGGAGGAGGTGGAGGGAGGACGCCCGGACGAAGGTCTGTGGCAGTACCAGCCACTGGCGGCTCTGTTGGTGCTGGTGCTGGTGCTGGTGCTGGTGCTGGTGCTGGTGCTGGGTCCTCTTCAGCTCCTGCTTTTGGTTCCAGAGACGATCAGATAGTGGCTGCTGCTGCTATGGTTGCTGGAGTAGTGGAGGGTAGGCAAGGTCGGCCCAAGGCCCAAACACGATGGGATGCACCTACACATACGGACTCTGCACATACTAGCTCGTCCAATGCCAATACCACTGCCAGTGCCACTGCCACTACGAGTTCCAGTGCCCGTGCTGCTGCCAGTGGTACTGCCAGTGCTGGAGTGCATTCCCTTGGGCTGTATGGTGCTTGGACTGGCACGCAGCTCTCTCACTCCAGTCCCTTCCTCCCAAGGCCAATGTGCCGGAGCATGAGTGAGCACGTCATGATACGCCCTGCCACTGCTGCTGCTGCCACGGCTGCTGTTGATGCACCTGCTGCAGGCATTTCTGGCAGCAGGGGGGGTTCGGCGCGCCATTCCAGCGTGCAAACCCCTCCCCTTCCGCCAGCAACTCCATATCGCGAGGCTACTCCGCTTCGATACGCGGTAGGGGCAGCAGGGCCAGCAGGGGTAAAGGGTGGTGCATGCAGCAGTGGACGGAGGTATAGAGCAAGCGGAGGGCTTGGTGGCGATGGGTCTGTGCATGTCAGTGGGGGGCCAAGTAGGGAGGTGGAGGTTTGGGAGAAGGGAGTTGTGGTGGACGGAGGGGGAGAGGAAGATGATGAGGAGTGGTTAGAAGGAGAGCTGAGGCGACACAGAACGGAGGGGGATTACCGGAAGAAGCTGGGCAAGACTCTGAGCACATGGATATGATGGACGGCATTGTGTTGTTGTCCAAAATAGACACGGTTTCGTGTTTCTAGCTTTGGCTTGTTTGCATCACATGTACGGTGATGTAAGATCACCCTTTGTAGAATCTGTTAACGAATTGCACCTTGATTGCGTGAAATTGTTTGGTTCGTACTTCCTTTACGAGCTGCAGCGAAATGTATGAATCCTATATTAGGAATCCTCGTTATTCGCACACCTAGAGACGTGGCCAATTGCAGTGTTGGAGGAGGTGGTGGCGCACCACATTGTAGCGGTCGCTTTCAGCGCGCAGCCGACAAATCCGGCGCTCAACATGCCGCGTCTCACAAACGACAGAAACGCCTCCAGAAAAGAACAGCGAAATGCAGACGATGCTACGAAGCGGCACCATTTCGCCACCGCCAAACCGAAAACTGCTCGCGAAGCGCGCCACCTCCTTCGTTCAAACGTCTTTCGTTACCACGCGTAGCTGCGAGGAATGCCGAAATCGCTGAGCACGCGGTGGCCGACGTGGGGACGAGTCTCCAGAAGCATCGGTCAACCGCGACGCCGAAGAGCGAGATGCGCGGCGCGTGAACTGCTGCAATAATTGTACAAATCCGGAGGATCCACGAGACGATCTATCCATCATCGACTAAACCAACTCCTCTTCAAGCCAACAATTGTTTCTCTGTTTTTTCCCCATCAATCGACTCTCTTGAACACCACGAGAAGCAGCAGGGCTCCCGAATCCGCAAATACGGCGTCACATTTGGCCTTTACGGAATCGTTGGTTTAGTTCCTCTTTGCCCCCCGCGCATATTTCGTCCGTCGTTACTCGACAGCCTCAACGTAGCCTGTGCTCTCCAGCCCTTGCTACTAGCTAGTGGTACTGTACCTCGTAGCCCTGCCAACAGCGTTCTTAGTCCCCGCCCAGCATGGTGTCTCTCCGTAAAACCACTGTGTTTCTTCTAGCGCTACTCTCCGCCGCACTCTACATGTCCCACGTGCACGCGGTGCGCACGGCGGAGGTGCGGAAGGCCAGCGACGGCATCAAGCAACGGCCGCAATTCAAGGCCGTCCACGATCTGATCGACAAATACCGTAAGCCCCGTCTCCATCGATAACACGATGCGGTTTTCTCCCTTTTTTTTTCAAACGGTCGCATCGTCTCTTCTCAATCGTTCTCATCTTAAGCATTTATTTTCTGCTTGCACCGTCGTGGTTCCATATAGCATTACTTACTACCTAGCTCGTAGCTCATAACTCATGCCACATTCGCCACCAGCTGGCCCGGCTTTAGCTAACCTACATCCACTAATATTTACTAACACACTCTCATCCTCCCAATCTTCTCCAACGTGTCCTACCCCCTCGCAGTGAAATCCCTCATCCCGCTCTCCGACGTCACCATCCTAGTTCCCGCCAACATAGCAGTGCTGCGCAACTACAACTCGGAGCAGCAGGCCACGATCATCTCGTACAACACCATCGCCACGCGCTACCTCTACCGCAACCTCACCGAGATTCCCGGCGGCACGCTGCTCGACACCATCGACACGAACCAGATCACCAAGCGCGGCCCCAACTTCCAGCCCTTCGTCGCCTTCAAAGGCGCCGCCGCGCTGCCGACCGTGCTCGTCGTGCCGAACCTGTGGGTAGGCTCGGACTTCACTATCCAGGGCACCAGCACCCTGCTTATTCCACCTGGCATCTAGATTGAGAATTTGGCGTCTAAATAGTACGTAGCTGCAATACCAGCGCCTGTAACTACTGGGGTGCGGTGCAGAGTGGTTGGGTGGCCCTTGCTCTGGAGGCACTGCGTCCACCTGCTGGCCGAGTCGGCCGCCTCTAGAGCAATCTTCACCCGGCCGTTTAACTGCGGCAAGCTGTCAATTCCTGGTTGACGCTGCAGAGTATCTTTGCTGTCAATATATTGCCGGCTGCTTCGTGAAATATAATATGTGAGAAGGTCAGAAATTATTCCACATGAACCATGCCTTGAGCTTGGTTTGCTCCCTGCCTGTTTGTCACATTCCGCCTGCTCAACTTCTGCCCATAAACGACCCAGGCCCTCAACCACCCATCTTGCACATCTTCGTGAGAGTACTCCGCTCCACTAAGCCTCGATCTTTGAATGAGATCCATCAAAACTAAATCCAACTTGCTATGAACATATATATATTTTTATATATGTCTATGTAGGCTAGGCAGGTGCATTACTCTTACTGATTCGTACTGTAGAGAGTACAACCCACTTCTTGTACCACTCTCTCTTCACTTGTCGTAACGGGTACGCGAGTCAACAGAGGTTACACGAGGAGGTTGGACGAAAGAATACGAAAGGACGAAGGGACTCAAAGGGTCGCAACCGGAGGTTGCGACTCACCGTTGCGACTGCAAGAATGGTAACCGAACAAGACAATCGAGTCGCTGTGCGACTAGATAACTGTTTCTTCAACAGTATTCTACAAACTACTTCATTTCCTGTTTCTCTATACATTGCTATATGCTTGTTTCCTTTTATCAGTCACTTGCTCTCACATACTAGTGCAAGGGTTCAACTACTCAACTTCCGCTGCACTACTCAAGCATCTTGTACAAGTGGGACTTAGTCTCTGAAAAGATCCGAAAGGTTTTTTCTCAGCCCAACATGGTATGAGAGCTGGTCAGAGACCAAACTCCCATCAACGACATCCTATCTACAAGTCAGCACATCAAAACTTCATCGATTACAAGTCATGGACAACAAGGGGAAGAAGTCTTCAACGGGCTCACCCAGCGCCTAAGACACTCAACCCGGCATCTCTGGCTGGACTGCACACTTCAGGACTACAAACTGAGACCGGCGCTGCTCAAGAAACAACAGGAAGGGCACCAGAAATGGTGACCCCTTTGTTAAATTATATATTGTGTTATATAATTGGTAGGCTTGGTAGGTTATCAAACTCTACTGTAGAGGGTACAACTCTCTCCTTGTATGCCTCTCTCTACTAGTCCTCTCTCTTTTCTCTCGTCAACCTCCTCTCCTAGCTCCTAAACCTCTCGTCATTTCATGGCCGCCTACCTTCCTAGCTAACCTAGCTTTGTGACATGGTATTAGAGCAGTTCGTTCCTTGTGGGCCTGCTCCTCACTCTTCCGCCGCGCTCTTCTACTCTCTCTCTCTCTCTCTCTCACCATTTCATGGCCGTGTCGTGCTGCTGTGGCCGCATCGTCGTGCCGCTGGCCGCGTCGTGCTGCCGCGGCCGTCGCGACGCGCTGCCGTGGCGGCGCGCTGTCGCGGCGTCGCCGTCGACGTCAAGCCGTGGCGGCGTGACGGCGCCGTCACGCTGCCGCGGCGTCTACGCGACAGCGCGCGGACGGCACGGCCGGCAGCGGCCAGCGCCCCGTCTTAGCGCTGGCCAGCACGCCCGCATGCAGCCAGCGCGCCACACGGGGCGGCACGCTCCCGGGCTCCGCTGCTGAAGCTCCGCCCCCCTTCCCCTGCGTCCCCTCTTCCTTGCCGCAGCCGACGGCTGACTCGCGCCGGCCGTCTCACCGTCGCGGAGCACGGCGACGCCGCCGAGTGCTGCGAGCTCCGCCACCGCCCGCAGCTGTCGTCGAAGCCGCCGCCGCCGCAGCTGGTGCAGCTGGTCACGCCGCCGCATGCCGCCGCTGTCAACGCTGCCGCCGTCGCCGCCGTTGCAGCCGCAGCCCTCGTTGTTGATGTCGCCCCACCTCACGCGCCGTGGGGTTGACCGTGCTGAAGTAGCTGTCGCTGCTGCTGAGTATGGGGGTGCTAGGGGTGTGTGGCTTAGTGTGCTGTGTGTGTGGTGGGCTTGCCGCTACCAAGCCTAGGGGGTGTGTTCAATTATATATTTTGTTATATAATTGGTAGGCTTGGTAGGTTATCAAACTCTACTGTAGAGGGTACAACTCTCTCCTTGTATGCCTCTCTCTACTAGTCCTCTCTCTTTTCTCTCGTCAACCTCCTCTCCTAGCTCCTAAACCTCTCGCCATTTCATGGCCGCCTACCTTCCTAGCTAACCTGGCTTTGTGACACCCTTCACCCTCTTCAGGCGTGGATCCCAACCTTATGGAAAGGTTCTTCAGCTTCATGTCACACTTTGACCAGCAGCAGCAGACAAGGACACCTGCGCATTCAACACAGAGCAATGGAGGAAATATGGGGTTAGCACCAATGAGCCTCGACAACTCATCATTCGGGCGGCACAACCAAGCGCCTACCTTTGCGCCTTATCACTCTTCACCAGGGACATTCGAGTTCATGCCGCCCCGTGCTCAACCGACAGCAGCTGCATCACAACAGACACCAAACGAGATACTTAGTCTCCAGGCGCAGTTTTCACATGTGATCAAATTGCATACATCCTCACCGTTCAACGGGCACGACTTCTTTACTTGGAGCTTTGAGTTCGAGCTGCTCATGGAGGCCGCGCACCTCTTGGGATACTTCAACGGGTCCCTGCCATTTCCAAGCAATGGAACTGCAAAGGAGCAGGAAATCTTCACTTATCAGTCGCCGCTGGCATACACAGTTCTCCTGCGAAATCTGTCTCCACAAGAGCAACATAGCATCAGAACGTATCGGAGCTACGGAAACTCCGCGGAGCTCGCCTGGCATCATCTGAAGTGTCTCTATCAAGCAAACGACAGCGTGACACAAAGCAGACTCATGCAGCAGTTGACAACAATACAAATGAAGACCGGGGAAAAGGCGATGCAGTATATGAGTCGCTGCCAGACACTCCGCGACGCCTGCTTCGGTGCGGAGGTACAATCACCGAAGAAAGTTCCGTCACACTTGTCCTCGCCGGGCTCGGGCCAGAATGGAGAACCACCCGGTCGCTTCTTCGCGCCCACGGACGAATTTCCGAGATGCACCTCTGCACCGAGCTTCATGCTTAACAACAGGAGATGGACCTGTTTGAAGAAAGACAACCAAGAAACAAGTAGCAACCATTAGTCTTCTATACTCAACGAAGAAACGACAACAACTACAATCGACGTGACAAGCAGAACCGACACGACACCAGAGGACTCACCATCGTGCCACCGTTGTGCCACAACTGTCAGACATCCGAGCACTCCAAAGTCAATTACACACGCCCTCGAATTTATCGTCCAGTAGACCCGCAAGTCGCCTCCACTCAAGAGAATCCGCCAAGCCGCTCCTCTACACCTGCACAAGGCGAACCGAATATTATTAACTGCATGGTGCACATCGACAACCGCACACCTGGATCACCACCCACTTATGCTCCAGACGAAGAAGAGCTGCCGCCGCCACGCTCCCAAGGTCTTCAGGTCGCCACGCTCCCGACGTACGCTGCAGTCGCCAACGCCGAACCCACCGGGCGAAACACCTGGTTCTTGGACAGCTGCTGCGGCCAACACATGTGTTCTTCCGGGGGCTTCGTGCAACGAGAACGACGCCTCAACCACGATGTCATCATCACCGTCGCCAACAATGAGAACCTGAAAACAAATAGACAAGGCGTCCTTCAGCTTCAGTCAATGGAGACAAACGTTATACTACAACTCAACAAGGTTCTCATAGTCGACAATTTGGGATATAACTTGCTAAGCGTCAGCCAGTTAATGGCGACGGAATTCACCTGGAATGCGACTCGGACGCCAACGAGTTTCGACTTTACCACGGGAAGGGCGGCCTCTTCATCGGTCGCGCTCTCTTGAAGTTGGGCGTCTTCGTGCTGGATTTTGTCCCCGACCACGGAACCGCCGACAGAGATGGCATCGTGTCGTTCGCCGCCTGGACGCACCCGCCGGATCTTGATTCCGACTTCACTCTAGACGGATTCTGGTACTCCAACACCATCCATGCGGCAAACAGAACACGTGCATTAGCAGTCATTCGTCAAGAACGACAAGTACCAGCAAGCACACCTTCCTCGACATCACCTGTAGTAATAGCAGTAGGACCCAGCCGCGCGCCATCACCAGCAATCCGATGACCGCCAACCGAAGCAGATCAACTCATGCCCATCACCCGAGGAGTCTGCCGCAGTCCCGCCACGGTCGTCGCGTTCTTCTCCAACGCCGACGTGTACCAGCGCTCACCCGGCCATCGCGCTTCCGACGACATCTGGCATGAACGCCTCGGACACCCTGCAAACAGCACAGTACTACAAACCATACAAGCCGGAGTATTAGAAAAGGACGCTCTCCTCACAACGAGCGGGCAGGAGCTTCGACGACCCTGCGCACGATGCTTCACGTGTCCTGAAGCTGATCTTCCTCACCAACCTTTCCCGTCGCATCACAATCCAAGCGCACCTGCATACGCACCGATGGAAAAAGTTTACAGCGACATCTTAAATATGCCTCGAGACGACAGTGAAGCAGAGTACATGTCATCACGTTCATCGACGCAGCAACACGATACGTCTGGCACTACAACCTCAAGACACGTGATCAAGCGCTTGAAGCCTTCACAACGTGGCTCCCCATCGCTGAACGAGAATCGGGCTCGCAACTCAAGAGTTTCCAGTCAGACGGGGCACTGGAGTACCAATCACAACGATTCAGGAACTACTTGGCAGAAAGAGGCATCAGACGTCTGGTGTCTCTGCCCTACGCTCACCAGCAGCAGGGGGTTGCAGAGAGGATGAACAGAACCCTGCAGACGACGATGCGGAAACTGCTCCTTGGGATGAGACTGCCCAACACGCTTTGGCCTGACGCGATGACACATGCAGTCCACTTGCACAATTTGCTGTCCTCAACATCACTTCCCAACAACGCATCACGGCACCTGCTGTGGACAGGAAAACAGGGCAGCCTAAAATTACTTTGAGTCTTCGGCTGCATGGTACAGTACAGACCCCACACAGCTCGAGCAGAACGATTCTCTCAACAAGCACGATGGGGACTACACCTCGGCATCGCAAAACACTTCCAAGCATGGAAACTTCTCGACATCCAAAACAAAGACACCGTGGCCTCACGTGATGTGATTTTCTACGAGCGACTGATGCT